TTAGGTCCAAAGAGAATTGGATGAAAAAGCACCTAGCATTCTGTGAAACTAGGGTCAAGCAAGATATTTCTTTCCCACAGGTGCCCATCAGTCACTTGCTTTAGCCTGTTTCATTCCCTATGATTTCCTTTTCAAGGCACCCTATTTTATAGATATGTTGATGAAAAGAAAATAGCCTTGCTCATGTGAATTCTACAAAGACACCCAAAGGCATGTGCATCGTGTGTGGATTGGATGGGATTCGAACAACCCTCCTCCCCAACCCTCTCTTCTCCCACTGCTAGTGGGAGGGCACCAAGGGCTTACATTATAAGTGAGGAATCCAGGCCACTGAGGGCCCAGCCTTCTCTCAGGCTCCTTGTTCTTCCTCTTCTGTAGTTTTCTGCACAAGCTGATGGTGACTTCAGAGAGCACCTGCATCTCTGAACAAGCAAAGCAGTGTAATTACCTTTCTGGAGTATTCTATAGGATTGTCAAACAGCAATTTTCTTTCAGAAGACAAGCTTTTGAATAATGCAGTTTACATACAGAGCTTAACATCTCTTATGCTAAAAATCTAATTATAAGTGTCCGAAATTTACTGCATGTTTGCCATTTTATAATTTGATCTTCATCAAATAGTGGGACTGGGGCACCTTTTATATATATTGAAGCTAAGGAATAGTATACATAGCGAGAGAAAATTAAATATTTTGGAGTTTCTTGAATATCTGTTAATTTCCACCTATGTTACCATATTAACACTCTTGGGTCCTTGATTTCATTTCCTTTATTTGGTTGTGCTCTTATTCTACATCTCAGTGAAGTGAGGGAGCTCACAGCAGTATTATTTATTAAGCTTCTCTAACAGAAGGTCACTGAATTTCCTCTTTTCTGAAAGAAGGTGTTGATGCTTGAAAAGATGCTTTGCTGTTTCTTGTACAGAGTACAGAGAAAGGATTTCACCAAGTTAAGAAGGGGCTCTCCTGATCTGCTGGATGGTAATGGCAGCGTTGAGGGACAAGGGAGTCCTAAGCCAGGGAGTCCACATCTCCTGCAGCACACAGTCCCAGACTCTGGGACAGTGGCAGCGGTGGCCTGGGGATCTGACCCAGGTGGTTCTACCCTTCTTGGACCGCCAAACAGGACAGATCATTCTTGGAGGCCATGGAACCTCAGTATTCTAGAAGGAGGCCCCAAGAATGGGGGGAAAATGAACATATCATTAGATTATTTCATTTTGGTGTGCCTATAAATTAATGTTATGAAATGTTATGAGCTTAGCTATAAAACTAGCGCTTACAAAAATTAGAGTCTCTTTTATCTCATACTCCTAGTTGTCACTCCAGGAATTCCTGTGTTGCCCCACATTATTCTGAGAGTGTCTGGTAGGCTCCCATTCCCTTCTCAGCTCCGGCAGAGGACTGCCGTTTCCTTTGCCAAATTGTGTCCAAGGATTCTGTAAATCTTTTGTGTCTTTTTTCCCCCCTGGGTAGGTTCTGTACTACAAAGCTTTTCAACCTAGAGAGCCTCCACAGAAGCCTCCCTGAGTTCTTCCTCGTAAGCACACACTACCATTCTTAAAAAAAAACATAATGCAAATGTAAAATGTTTCTTATGGCGAATCACACAGCATTGTTTCGAATTTCAATCAAGCGGCTGCAGAATGCTGGTGTTTGCTCACTGCTCAGCTCCATTGGAATAGAACTGACATGGAGTATCTCTTTTTTTGTGTGTGTGCTATTTGTGTCATGATTATGATATGTGTGTGTGTATTTATATATATATATATATATATATATATATATATATATATAAATACACACATATGTATGTATGTGTGTGTGTGTGTGTGTGTGTATCAGGAAATCTTAAATATGCCAGCAAAATCACAAACTCTTAACCGTCTTGAATTTATTCTTTACTCTCTGGTGTCAAGTTTGAATTTTTTTTGACGATTTCTTTTAGGAAAGTAGTATTTCAGAAAGGAAATGATACTGAAAATAACCCAGCCATTGGAGAACAATTCTCGACAACCCTGTTTGATTACTCTCAACCTACTAAGTGGTAATATTCGTTTCTCTACTGTATTCACATGCCTGCTCCTAACATTTGCATATCTATAGTGGGCATGTGGATGTCAGAGATTCCAAGTATCCATGACTCGGTCTCTGTCCCCAGCTCGATTGGAAGGAGACTCGCTTTTCTAAGGCTTTCTATTATTTTATCAATGTAAAGAAAGGTTTTGTTTGTCGGGTTTTTTTTTTATAAAAGCTCATTTTATTTTATTATTGTGAAGGTGGAGTTAGGTGCATCAGCAATCATGATTTTGTAAGGGCACAGAGAGGTTTTAAAAACAGGCTGTATGATTGTATTAATATAAAGAAAGGGAATTCTTTTTTTACAAGACATCACGAGAGCAGAGTGATTTTTATAAGAGGGCATAGATTTTATCCTTGTAAAACGAGAGGGTTGTTGTCTCAATAGATCATAAGAGAAGGGGATTTTGTAAAGGACCACAGGATTTTATCCATTGAAAAGAGGGAGATTAAAAAATAAAATATGACAGGGTATTATAAAATATAAAATTTTACTTATGAAAATAAAGGGAGATTTTTTTTTTAAATACGAGATGGTAAGGTGGAGAAAGGGGACTGTGTAAGACATGAAAAAAGATTTGTGATTTTTATAACATACATTAAGTGGGTTTACTCTTTACTCTCTATAGTGGGAAATGTTTGTAAGGTGTGAGTTAAAAAGAAAAGAACGATCCTATTATAGGCCCTCCCGTAAGCTTCCTATGGGGGGGGAGGGGGGCTGCGGGCCGGTGGCTCTATGTTAAGATTTCAACCGAGGGATGAGGGGTGGGTAGGGGAGAGAGATAGGGGGATTGATTTCCTCTGTCCAGGCTTCCTAGGTCCTGCGCTTGCTCTCCTAATATCTTAACTGGATTAAGGAGTAAACCCAAGTTTTCTCCATTACAGAATTCTAATTTAATCCCTCTTCCCCCCTGAGTTTATCAAATTAAAGCAGACAAGATGGATGCGGGGACTGTGAAAGGCGGACATCATGTGTAAAATCGGCAGACAACGGCTTTCCCAGGGTGCCCCCAGCTCCCTGTCCGTCACAGCCGCGGTGGCCGCGCTTCTGCCCCCGGTCTTTCAGCCCTGCGCCCCGCTCTGTTCTCTGTGGCCATGAGGCCCTGCACCACGTTCTGCGGCCCAGTGTCCTTGCTCCCCTGAGCCTGGTCTGCGCCTGCCCTTGCTCCCCGCGGCCTTGGGGCTCAGCCCCCTGGCTCCTCTTCTGTCCACTCCACGTCCCTGCTCCCTGGACTCTTGCGCCCCTGCACCCCACTGTGCGCCCTGGCTCGTCTGCAGCCTAGGGACTTTGTGCCCTCGTTTCCCTGAACTCCACTCTTCATTCTTGCTCCCTGCGGCCTTGAGACCCTGTAGTCTTGTTCCCATGAATCCTATCCCCCTCCCCTACTCCTGGAGGCCTGAGCCCTCGCTCCCCTGATCCCCGCTCTGCTCTCCAGCACCCTACTACCTGGGGGCCCCGGCTCTTTGCTCCCCTGAACCCCATTCCGTGCCCCTGCTCCCTGAGCCCTCTCTCTCCCCGTGCCTCGATCTGCGCCTTGCACGCTTGCTCTCCGCTCTACTCTCCAGCACCTTACAGCCTTGAGGGCCCCTGTCCCTGCTCCCCTGAGCCCCACTCAATGCGGCCTTGGGGCCCTGGCTCTTTGCTTTTCTGAGGCCCACGCTGCACCTTCGCTCCCCAGCGGCCCTCTTCTCGATCTGACCTAGCTGGCCTGGGCCTGTGGAGTCACATTGGGCAGGGAAGGGGGTGGGGTGCTCCAGAAGCTGACCCGCAGAGGGTCTCGTGCAGAAGTACCGATTGAAGCCCTGGGCCTGTTCCCCTGCACTGGGCCATTCACTAGCCCTTGAAGCTCCCCTCCGGTTCAGGAAGCAGGGCCGGACCGGGTCGGGCCGGAACGGGGCTACTGCCGGGGCTCTTTCTGGAGCCCCGGGCTCATCTCCGCCCTCACTGCTACTGCAGCCGCCGCCGCCGCCGCGTCCTGCAGGTGGCGGTTCCAGCCGTAATTGCCCCATCCTTCCCTTCGCAGCGTAAAATTGTTTTCATTTTGTGTCATGCACACAGAGCCCGGCAAACCCCTCTCGAGTGCTTTCCCAAGGACTGGAGGGAGGGGGCCCTTCACTTAAACAAGCGCTTGGGGATTGCATTTTTTTTAAAGGGGGAGTGGAGGGGGGAACGAACCCACCCACCCAGGGACAACTCATCATTAACTCTACTTCTGAGGCCAGAAAGCAGCTCGCGCACAAACTGGCCTGAAGATTGTCTGACAAGTCTCAGTTACTGGGCTGAGAGGGCGAGCTCTGGCGTTTTACCGAGGCTGCAAACTCGGCCTGGGGCCTGGGGGACTGGGGCCTGGGGGGCTGGGGGCCGGGGCAGCCAGAGAACAGACTCACTTTCCACCTGACTGCAGTTCCCATGGCGTGCGGTGCAAGGCGATAAGCAGGTTTCAGCAATAAACTCCAGCATTGTGAGACAAGAATGCCCCGTCAGGTCCCCCCCATTTTGATTCAAGGGTGTCTTTTTCTTTCCCCCCTGCGGTGGACTAATCACAGCTCCACTTTGTTTAATTGCGCCAAAGAGAGAAATGTGTTTAAGAAGTCATTCTGGCCCCCTCGCGCTGAATGCCGGAGCTCTTCAAAGACAACAAACAGGATGCATGAGAAATACGATTTAATTTTCAGATCAAAATAGGCAGAGTTAAAGATTTTTATTGACTAATCTGGTAGCAGAGGCTTCGGAGAAGCTGCAAAAAAAGAGAGCGAGCAAAGAGGAAGCAACAAGTGGGATTAAAGTCTCCCCCCCAGCCCCCCTACCTCCTCCCAACCCCCCACCTCCCTACTGCAGCCAGCACAAGCTGTTTCTGCCTGCTGGGAGGATCAGGAGGGGAATACAATCTTTACAGAACGAGGCGAGGCCAGGCTGCCCCAGCACTTTGCTTCCGATTAAAAAAAAAAGAGAGTGAGAGAGAGCACAAAACAATACCACACACAAAAACTCTTGTAAACTCTGTCAAGCCCTTGGTAATTGACACAGCTTCACCCATCCTCATTTTCCCTGGAAGGCCCGGCAAACCTAGGGTGCAGCAGCATTCTAAAAGATGGCCTCAGGATCATGAACTCCAGGGGGGGGGGGCGGGGGAAAGGCATTTATCAACCCCGAGGCTTCTTTCTGAGGTTGACAAAACTAAGCCACAGACCAAATGATGGGGAAGGGACTTCTTATTCATTAATTTTAAATCTCTCCACCTCTCCGCCTTCTGGCTTTCAGAGCCTCTTCTGGAAGGAAAACTTACTCTTGAACAGAAGACAAATAGTCATATATCCACTTGCAGAATCATCTTTTTTCCCCCCTGGATTCCCTGTGGATGATGGCCTTTGGAACTCGCCAAAATCATCTACTTTGGGATTGAGTAGCAAAGAGGTCACCTTTCTAGAAAATGTATCATTGTATGTTCAAAAGCATAAATGCTTGTGAAATGAACGAATGAATAAAAAAAACCTCATCACTTCCCTTAAAAATAAAAGTCTAGCTTAAGTTCGCAAAACTAATTTCCAAAAATCTGTTTGGTCGTCTTTGTAAGATGTTGTACCTTCCAGTGTTCTGGGCCTGTCGAGCTCTTCCTTTGGATAACTTTTAGTACGTTGGCCATTGTCAGCAGCTAAGCCAGGGCCAGTCTCAGAACTTAGAGCGTGCAATCGCTGGGCTTAGAATAACTTCAAGAACATCTGCTGGGAAGATTCTGGGAGGGAGTTCTTCACTTTGGCTTAATGGGAGACAGGCATTATTTAGCACCCTGAAAAATAGACGTATATATTAAGTGTGTGTGTGTGTTAGTGTGTGTGTGTGTGTGTGTGTGTGTGTGTGTATCCTATATGGGGAGGGATAATGAATGATGGATTTCCTTTTCCTTCTGGCAACTAGAATCCCCTTTTCTCCTCTCTCCCTCTTCAATACAAGCAATGACTGTTTCAAAATGGAAACCACAGTGATGTGGTTCAATGTTATATTCTGCCTAGTTGCTCCTTGAGTGAAAGGCAGCTTTAAAAAGTTAGGTATATCATTGCCAAAAAAGGGGCTAAATAGTATTGTCAGCATTTTCAGAAGAAACCGGTGCCCCCCTGCCCCATCCTCCCCCCCCCCTGCAAACTCCATTCTGGACAGCTGTTAGTGACTTACCCACTTTTCATATGGATATGTATGTTAATGGCAGGCAATGAACTGGAGATGAAGAGCCCCCAACACAGGCCGGGCTCTTCAGTGCACATCAAAAGCCAGGACAAAGGGAGCGGTGAAAGAGGCAGCGATGGCGGAGCCTTCACTTTTGTGCCCGGAATTAGTTCTGCAAGCAATGAAACTGATCTTTTCTCCTTGCCAGAAAAGTCTGGCGATTTCTGTGAGTGCTCATTAGCACGAGAGGCATGTGTGTGAAGATAATTGACTGACGCTGATACCGCGGCCTGTCACAACAGTGCCAGCCAGCAGTGTGTGTGCATTTTAATCGTGGCACTTTTCCTCTCTCTCTCTCTCTCTCTCTCTCTCTCTCTCTCTCTCTCTCTCTCTCTCTCTCTCTCTCTCTCTCTCTCTTTCTCTCTCTCTCTCTCTTCTCTCCTCTCTCTCTCTCTCTCTCTCTCTCTCTCTCTCTCTCTCTCTCTCTCTCTCTCCTTCTCCTTCTCCTCCTCCTCTCCTTTCCTCACTCTCCTCCTTTCTTCTTCTGCCTTTTTCTCCTCTCTCTTAATCTCTTTTTTCTCTCTCTGCACCTCTCATTCTGTGTCTCCCTCTTCCTTTACCTCTCCTTTTACTTTTCTTCCTCTCCCCTTCTCTGAGATATTACTATTCAAATGTCTCCTAAATGATTCTGGCCTACCACATTCCTTTGTGCAGCTGAGGATTATAAAACCTTTACTTAGAAATAAAATAGAAAAGAAGAAGAAGAAGAAGAAGAAGAAGAAGAAGAAGAAGAAGAAGAAGAAGAAGAAGAAGAAGAAGAAGAAGAAGATAGAAGGAGGAAGAGGAGGAGGAAGATAGAAGAAGAAGGAGGAAGAGAGAGGGAGAAAAGGAAAGAAGAGAAAGAAGAAATGTACGTTATATATGTGTGTGTATATGTGTGTGTATATATATATATATACACACATACACACATTACATAGATACATAGATACACATGCATCTGGAAAGAGCCTATACAAATTTGTTCAGAAAGTTTTTTTAGTCCTGATAGATAGGTGGATCCTAAAATGACAAAAAAGTTCTTATAACAAAAATGGTAATGAAAATAACATAAGAAAATGATTAATCAAATAAAATCTCCTCCTCATCATCATCATCACCATCTTAGACAACCCTAAGGGCTCTCTGCATTTTATTATTCTTATTCAAAATATAATCTAAATAGGAGGCTTTCATATTTTTTCCATTTTTCCCCCTACATATTAGCAAATGCCAAAGTGGTTTTCTGGTCTATATCAAAGGAATTGAGCACAAGTGTTCTCCTAATATTCAGTTTCCTTCAAAGCACACATGCTCCCTTCTTGATAAGATCTTTCCTGATCCCCTCCAATTAGGGGGACTGGCTCCTTTTTGGAATCATGTTGTGTTGCTCTGTATTTATTTTGCATTTTCTTGTGCTCATGTCATACTCCCCACCCTACCACCGCCCACAGAATGCAAGCTCCTTGAGGGCATCAGCGGCTTCCAGTTTTTGTCTTTGTGTCTTTAGCACTGGACCCATGGAACTAAGCATAGTGGACTCTTCATACATGCTTGTTCAATTGATCTGGATTCTCTGATGAGCTAAGAGTGGGAATCCCATGAGGAAATGGAAACCAGTCTCCAGAAAGGCCAATTTCAGAGGCGCATCAGATAAGCCAATGGTCATAGATGTCCCTGATTGACTGGGCAGGGTGACTATTCCTCATCAAGGGACCAGAGCTCATGACTAGCTCCCTGAGAGGGGTCCAGAGGCTAGGTAGTCCCTGATGGCCCCTGGTACCACCACAGATAGAATTGAAAAGAGTAGAAGCACACAAATATTTGTTGAATTGAATTGAATCGAAGTATGAGCTCTCCCTGCTCCTCTTTGTTTCTCAGCATCCTATGGGGAACTGGAAACTAAAGCACAGGCACTTACATATCAGAGGAGAATTCTCACACACTGACATGGAATTGTAGATTATGTGGGCTATCAAAATACATTTATCTTGGTTTTGGTGGTGGTGTTATTTGATAGATTCTTTCCTTGGGAAGATAGAGTTGAAATCTATGTCACTAAGATAATCAATGCCTTCTTTCTTTTCATTCATCCATCCATCCATCCATCCCTCCATCCATCTATCCATTCACTGCATACTCATTTATTCAGCACCTACTCCATACCAGGTACTGAGCTGTGCTTGGAAGACAAAGACAAAAAGAGCTTATATTCTTTGGGAGGGGACACCATGTATAGACACAAGTATGCACAGAAGAGTACAGAAGAAATACAAGACAGTTTAGAAGGCAGGGGCACCAGCAGCTAGGAGATTGGGGAGGGCCTCCTGTGGGAAGTAGCCTTTGAAATTTGGTTCAAGCCTTGAAGTGGGGAAATAGCAAGCAAGAGGTAAGAAATATATGTGTGCCAGGGGTTTCAGGAGCCTGGGTGGCATGCAGATGCCATTTTCAAGGAGTGCCTTGGAGATAGATGTTGGTCAATGATGTGCCAGCATTTGGGGTGACAGTTTGGGCTGAATGTCTCTAAGAGTGACTTCCAGATTCTCATCCTGATGGGATGAAAGCATATTGGCTACCTTGGGCCTCTGTCTGCACATTGCTGGCTCTTCCTGGCAGGAGTGATGGTCTGTGGTGTTCAGAGGCCACTACACAAAAGGGGGCAAAAATCAGCAGTCCTTCCCTCACTGTGGTTTCCTATTCCTTCCTTGATTGTGTTTACTTAAAGAGATGGCTGGTTTTGGAGAAAAGAGCCATTAGATCAATATTTTTCTGGAAATCAGAAGGTAGGTCTTTTATTCACTGATGAGGTGAGAGTACCTGTATGATCATGGATGTGACTGTATGAGATTCAAGAGTAGAAAGAGTGCAACATATAGTCAGGACTGAGTTCCCTCCAGCATCCCCAAGGCCTGGTTTGATGTGTGAATAATAAAATGTCAGCTTCCCTGCCAAAGACTAGAGGGAGGTTTATGTGGACATCGTGGGGTGGATGTCTTTAACCTCATGCATAACCCCTCCTCCATCAACGTGAGATAAAAATTACTGGAGGTGATTCTCTGACACTGATTTTGCAGAGAAATTGGGTAAAACTCTGTCAAAGGCAAAATGACTCCCAGAATGCTAATCAGCATGTGATGAAAGGAGGAAGTTCTGGGTAGAGAGGTGAGGGATAATTAGGAAAAACCTTCAGTTGAGGAATTAGCTTGTGGTTCCTTCCTCAGAGATCCCTAAATCTGTGGAAGGTAATCTAATAGGCTTCTGACACTCTCTAATGAGCAGGTTTCTTCCTTCTTTTCGTTTTCATTGTTAAGAAGTTGAAGTGAGGCAGAGAAGGGTTAGAGAAATCCTCCTGCTTTTGAAGTCAGGGACGTGGTTTCAAATACTAACTCTACTACTTACTTGCTTTGTAAACCTGAACAAGTTACCTCTTTTTTCTAAGCCTCAGTCTCTCTCTGTGTCAAATAAGTCAGGAGAACAGATAGTCCTTTTGAATTCTCTTCTTTTAGTCCCTGACCTATGATGATATGACAGAGCTCCCTGGAAGAAAAATGCCTCTACTGCTACTGATTGCCATCTATTCTGCAACTAATGGTTTTAGAGAGTTGCTTGGGTCCTTGAGAAGTTATGTGATTTGCTCAGGATCATACAGAGATTTTGCTTTTGAGGCAATAATTAAGCCTTCCTGGACATTTCTAATTCCAAGGCCAACCATCTATTCATTACACCATATTGCCTCTTCAGGTGTTATTGTTGTTGTTTTACAATTGATTATTCATTCATGAAGATGCTAAATATACTACATATACCAAAATATTTTCCCCCAAAATATGAAGAAAAGAGAGTATAATTAAGAAGCTACAATGCCCCCAAAAACATCTTGTTGGAACACTATAATGTGAGAAAAATGAGACACGAAAATAGCAGCAATCCCTTAGGCTCAAAGATGGTGGCTCTGTATAACCAGGAGATTTACGTCATTTTAAATAATCTGAATATTCTAGAAAGTGTCAAGAAATGAGATTGAACATTTAAGTGACTTGCCCATAATCACATAGCTAGTATGTGTAAAAAGCGGACATGGTGGGGTGGCATAGGGACACAAGTGAGAAGTCCAGAGTGCATCAGAGTGAGAAATGAAAATATGCCCAGCCTGGGAGTCTTCCTTAAATGAAGGTTCTGGGAGGAGCCATCCAATCAGAAGGAGTGGGCTACAGGGGTAGAGAGAACTTCTCAAACTAAACCTAGATCTTCCAGACTCCAAGGAATACTCCACGTGTATATTAAAAAATTTTCAATAAAGTCCTCTATCAAATCTACAAGGCAAGGTCATTATTTCAGTAAAACAAATATCTGATTCCTAGATTCATATTTTCATAGGTCCAGTTTTCTCAAAGTAGTGTATGCCTGAGGGGCAGCTAGGTGGCACAGTGGACAGAGCACTGGGTTTGGAATCAGGAAGACTCATCTTCATGGGTTCAAATCCCACCTCAGACACTAGCTGTGGGTAACCCTGGGCAATTCACTTCATCCTATTTGCCTCAGTTCTTCATCTGTAAAAATGGTCTGGAGAAGGAAATGGAAGATCACTCCAGTATCTGTACCAAGGAAAGCCCAAATGGGGTCACAAAGAGTCAGAAATAACAAACTGAAATGAGTCAATGACAGCAACAGAGAACAACAAAAGCACATGCGTGTGTATTGCTAAATGGTCTTGGACAGCCTTTGTAATCCTTGAGAGGGGTCCCTAGGTGCGGGACCTGACTTGAGACAGATCCTGTCATGCTTGTGGCCACCCAGTGACTTCGAATTTTAATTCCACTTTTGTGGGGCTCCTACCGAGAAGGAATCAAGTTTTTGATCTAAGAATTTAGGCACAGTAGCAAGCCTGGTGTCTAAGGTAGTATGCACAGTAACATTTAAAGTGATGGGTGTTTAATCTTGTAGGTTGTTTTTCTTGGCATGCCTTTATTCATCACCCAGCTACTGTAGCAAGAGGCCTCTCTTAATTTCCCCTAGTCATTAGTGAGCATACCTCCACAAGTTACAATGTATCTATTTGCTTAAATGTTTCCACCAATAAAATATAAACTCCTTGAGGTCTGGGATTGCTTTTTTAGTTTTGATCTTTTTAAT